TCAGTGGGAGGGAGGAGGGAGGTACTTCAGGCATTTCAAGGGGAAGGAACAGATGAGCGGTTTGAAGGTAAAAGTATCAGCGGTGAGCACAGGAACATAGGCAGCTCAAACAAGTGAGTCCAGTCCCCAGGCCCTGACAGTGGCCCCCAGCACTGGATTCGTCAGCGGAAAGTGCAGGAAACCCTCGAGAAATTTGCCTTAGGAATAAACTTGCCCAAACTCCCGTCAGTCAGAGGCTGGCTTATGCCCTGGACCCTGAGGGTTAATCCCCATTTCTAAACTCTTGTTGCTGTTTAACCTTCATGATGCAAGTCTGGAGGTTCCATTATCCAGAGAAAGGCCCGGTTCTTTCTTGGACTCTTGGGGCAGTGAGTGCCACAAGCTGATTGTGTTGCACAGAACAGGCGTTTCCTTTAATGAATGTTAAATGTGCGCCCTTCCGATCGTATTGAATAGTCCACCCCTCCTCCTTTCGTTGTAGTATGGATAGAAGAGCTGGTCTACCTTCTCTAGGCCAGTCTTTATTGTGTCTTCAGTTCCAGCACACTGGAACCAAGGACCCTCTCCACGTCATTCAAAGCCCTAGTAAAAACCAATAACCTAAAAATAAAGAACTAACTAATTAAACGACGAAGAATTTGTCACTGGGGAGTGATCTCTTCTGATTTATGTCCCTTCTCGTTCACTAGGTAAATGGTTCTAGAGTGAGATCCTCACTCACTCTGGCTCCTTGACGCTCCACAGAAAGGCCCTAAAGCCTCCTATGTGGGAGTGGGTGGAAGGCTGCCATCCAACTAACTCCTTGCAAGCCCTGGTGTGGGAGGTGTGCCCCAGGCAGGGCTGCAGTCTATAGCGGAGCCCTGGGAGGCTGCCACACCTAAGGCCCCCAGGACTGTCTACGTTACACCGGGGGCCTGTCCAGCCCCCCAGGCAGCCCAGGTTTAAAAGGACACAACGATGTCTTAACGCCATCTTAGCCTTCCCTCCCCCTGTGCTGTCATTTCTGTGCTGTACCTCTTAGAACCACAGCAGAGAATTTCAGCCCAGATCTTTTCCATCTCTGTTCGTATGCATGTTCTTCCATGTCATTCTCGTTGTCCATTTCAGAACCTTCTATATTTCTGTTAGATCCTCTTTGAGATGCGGTGTCCAGAGCAGAGTATTCGAGGTCAGGGCATAGCATTGATTTACAAAATGGCGTAATATGGCTCTCCATCCCATCCCTTTTTCATTCTCACACTTGGTTGTCTTTCGTGACCCCTGCCTCACACGGAGCACAGAAGTCTCCTCCGAGCTGTCCACAATGATAGCAATTCTTTTGGTGACATTATAGCTAATTTAGAACCCAGTACGAGGCTCAGAGAGGATCTCTTTTGAGACTGGAATGCTAGTGTCCTTAGCCCACCCAGAGACAATGTGCTATTTTGCTGTTACATGACGTACTGGAGAATCTGCTCCTCTGGATTTTGGAAGCCTACGTCAACGTATGGACGTTGGCAGTTTGATTCCCGGCTACAAGTCTTACATTGGTTTGGGGGGGCTGAATCTTAGGGCTTTGGCACACACGGCTGTCGTGCACCAGACTAGAGAGCTTGGAATGACTGAGCCAATTGCTCAGTTCTTGCCATCCGACAGTGACTACAGCAACCAGGTGAAGAACTGAATATCCAAACAAACCTAGGCCAGCGTTCTGACTGTTCCTGTTTAATTCAAGAAAATCTCCATTTTTAAACTGAAAGGAAGCTGGCCTAGAATTCCAGTCTGCCATACCAGAGTCCCACCCAATCGAGGGGACTTGCTGCATAATTTACATCCAGCTTGCTTGGGAGTCTGGGGGGCGAAATGATCTAAGGATGGGGAGGAGTCTGCTGATATGAATTCCATAGAAATTGTGAAAGTCTCTCTCTCTCTCTGAGTTGGCAACTGGCAGGCCCTCCCACTGCCATCTGGAATGAGATCACCCTGGACTGCGTAGGGAGTCTCAGGATGTTGCCAACACCTGCCAGCAAGCTGGGATTACAAACATAGTCTAAATGCTTCTTCAGAAAACCCAGGTCCTCGCCTGGGGTAGATGGTCTCACCTCCCAGGCCTCCCTGCACACGAGATTGGACACATTCTGGCTACGCTTTATTCCAGCCATTGTCAACCGGTGGGTTGGGACCCCTAAGTGGGTTGCAGCCCCGTTTTATTGGGGTTGCCAGGGCTGGTGTTAGACTTGCAGGGGCCTGGGGCTGAAGACCAAGCCCCACTACCCGAGCCCAAGAGCTTCAGTCCTGGGTGGCAGGGCCCAGGGTTACATGCCTCCCACCTAGGGCTGAAGCCCTGGGGCTTTGGCCCCCCTGCCCAGAGCGGTGGGGCTCAGGCTTTGGCTTTAGCCCCCACCCCCACCCGGGGCAGCTGGGCTTGTGTGGGCTCAGGCTTCGATCCCCCGTCCTGGGGTCATGTAGTAATTTTTGTTGCCAGAAGGGGGTCGTGCCCCCGGTGCAATGAAGTTTGAGAACTGTTGCCTTATTCTGTATCATCGGTAGTGCGCAACATTACTGCAGAATGAAGCGCTTTCAGCGGGTGTAGACCGTGACTGATGTGCCCAGGTGAAGGAAGGACTTAAACTGTTGCTCCCCGCTCTTGGGGCTGGCCGTGCAAGTTTCCACATGTGGGTCAGGTGACTGCAGTTGGGGAATTTTGCATTCTTCTGCACTCCCTGGCATCTCTGCCAGGCAGGACCAAGGGCAGGGACTTGGAGTGAGGCTCTGGCTGGCAATTCAGAACTGTGTGTGGTGTGGGACCCCGTACGACTGTGCAGATAGCAGAGATCCCCTGCAGCCAAGTATTGGGTGGACTGTCCCACTGACTTTCTGAATAGCCCTGAGGACTCATGGCTTAAGAATATTTTGGAGGTTGGGGGATATGAACCCACTGGCTCTTCTGCGTGGTGCTGGAACACATCCGTCCGATGGTAGTGCAGGGGATGCTGTTTGTTGTCTATCTGCAGCAGCGTCAGATGCTCTCCGATCCTTTAAACCTCATCCCCGTTGCCATGATAACCCTTACAGCTGGGTTATAGCAACCTAGAGGCCAACGTGGATTTTTGTGGGGTGCTGGTAGCTGCTGCCTTGAGGAAGAGGACTTGGGGGGCTGGCAGGGCGTTGGATTTCAATGACAGCTAAGCTTCCAAAGTCCAGGGACCATGGCTGAAGGCAGGGTGTCCTTTCTCCAGTAAATGCAACAAACAGAAGTGGGGGGAGCTGGGGCTTGGCAGGTTGGACACGAAAGGTGAAATTTATGAAAGACCAGTTGTAGGGTAGAAAATCGGGCCCTGTAGCAGAGTCGAAGGGTCAATCCCCTCCCCAGACAGCTGTGTTTTAGGGCGAATGGTGACTTGTAGGAGAGCACCTGGAGCAATGAAGAAAGAAAACAATTATCTGACTACTTTCCAGCTCTGCTTTAGGACTCTTTGTTACGACATTCCATGAGGCCTTATTCCATCTGATACTAACCCCCAGTATAGCCCCACTTTGTGATTCTTGTGCTAGATGCATCTTCTGGGGGTGTCAGGGTATTCAGGTGCCAGCAGAGTCACTCCATTCTGGAAAACGTGCTTCTGGACACTAGCTTTGCTAACCAGGGTTGCCGACGGTAAGTGGCCTGTGAACAGGGGAGAGCCAGAGTTTCAAACTCTGCATTTTCAGATCCATTTGGCATGCAGCTGTGTGTTGCGCTCGCAGGCCCCGTTTCAGAAGTTGTGCTCACATTGTAATGCGTGTTGAAAGCTTTACAAACTCTGCTCTAATCACTCCTTCCCTTCCAACTGAACAGGCCGATGCCGAGTGACATGAAGAGATGAGGATCAGTTCACTTACGAACTGATGGAATTCTCTCAAGTCTGCCGTGTTTCTTCTGGTAGGCTTCGTCTGTGCTGCAAAGCTAGGCCGGCATCGCCCCGGGGTGTAGATGCAGCCGTACACGCACAGAAAGAGTTGTTCTTCTTCGTGTGATTGCTCATATCCATTCCAATAGGTGTGTGTGCGCTGCGTGCACGAGCGTCGGACATTTTTACCCATCGGGTCAGCTGTGGAGCCCCCTGGAGTGGCACCTTTATGGCGGTGTATATAGGCCCCTGCCGACCCACCGCTCCTTCTTACCGCCAGTGACGGTCGTTGGAGCAGCTGGTCTCTTGCTTTAGCAAGTGCTTCCTAGTGGTTTTGCCTGTACATAGTCGTTATCCTTCATCTTAGTAAGTTGGGGGATTCCCCTCCCCCCCGATATTTTTCCCTGTCACCGGGGCATGCCGCGGCCCCAGGAGTTCAAGCCGTGTGATAGGTGCGGTAAGCCTATGCCCAGAGGGGATCCACACACCACTTGTCTGAAGTGCCTGGGAGAGGGTCATTGGCAAGAAAAGTGCACCGGCTTCCAGCCCAGAACTAAGCGGGAGAGAGACTATCGCCTCACGCTCCTCCGGGTGGCATCCACTCTCCGGCTCAAGAGCCAGCACCGGCAGCCTCGGTGCACAGCGCACCAGCCTCAGCACTGAACAAGGACTCACATAAGGAGCATCGGCACCATTCCCTGGTGCGGAAGGCCGGCTCATCGGTGGGCACCGATCACAATCCCCGGTGCCACATAAGAAGAAGAAGGTGGAACAGGGCCACTCCCCTGCCAAGAAGAGCGGACAGAACTCCAGCATGCTGTGTCCCATGTTGGGACACCAGAAGGCTGGTCCATCAGTCCCTGCACCATCGATTCAGGCCTTGAAGGGGGGTCCGTCGAGTCCGGTGTCGGTGAACTCTCTGGTCCGGGAAGTGTTGGGGGAGGACTGGATCTATTGGAACGGACATGAGCAACACAACTCGAAGAACAACAGTTACGAAAGGTAGGCAACCGTCTTTTCTGCTGGTGTGAGACTCTTTTCGTGGCATAGCTGTGTCTACACTGAGAGTTTGTTGGCACTGCTGTGTTGGGCAGGGGGGTGTTTTGTTTTGTTTTTTGTTATCATCACTGACCAAGATAGCTATGCCGATTATAGGTGTAGTACTTGAGTACTGCAAGGCATTCCCCCTAGTCCTTGTTCCCCAAATTGCTGTCAAAACTAATTGGGAGGAGGAAACTATTTCACCTGCTTTTGATCTTATTCAGGACATCACAGAATCCAACTTGCAAGCAAGAGCCAATCGAGCTGATGGGAAAGTGTGATCTTTAACAAGTTTAAATGTAACAGTCTCCTCAAGATGAATGGATGAAGCTCACACCTCGCTGCAGGTTCAGCAAGACAGTGCTGCACGAATGTATGAGTGACGCCTGTACTCTGCACCCAGAAGGACTAGAAATGCCATTGTGTAATGACGTCAGCAGGTGGACCTGACGGCTGTTGGTTTGTATTGCTCTGTCCTGACCAGCAAAGCTGATCTCTCCCTTTGTTGCAATAAATGAGCCATAACCTCGCCCACTAATTAAGAGGATAGCCAAGAGATTGCAATGTCAGTTCAGGGTGTACGTTTGGCCTGGTCTACACTGAAATATTAGATTGGCCTTGTTATGCCATTCAGGGCTGTGGAAAATTTTCACACCCTGAGTGCGATGGTTAGGTCGACCTAACCCCTGGTGTAGACACAAGAAGGTCAATGGAAGAATTCTTCGGTTGACCTAGCTACCACCTCTCAGAAAGGTGGGTTAACGACATTGATGGAAGAACCCCTTTTGTCGATGTAGGAAGTGTCTACACTATGGTTTTACAATAGCACAGATGCAGCAGTTGTAGTGTAGACACATTTTTAGACAGAAACCAGCTTGCTACACATACTTCATTTTTCATGCATTCATTTCTATTGCCTGGATACAAAAGTTGCAAACCTGTTGCCATCTAAGTCAATTGCTAAACTCTGATTGATTTCCACGGAGCCAGGATTTCATTCAGACTGCTGACGTGAGCTTTTCTGTTACATATGTAATCTCTGAAATGTTCCTCCCCAATTCCCTTGGTCTCTTTCTCAGAGGTGATCCCATGGAGCCCATCCAGTGCTGGTTTGGTGGGGCTCTTCCTGCCTGCTAATTTGTTTGTCTCTCATGGTGTTTTTTGGATAATTGACATGATCCTGGCTTGCTTCAGTGTTTTGTCTTTCCTCCTGGCAAAGACAGATCTGTTAGTGGTACCTGCCTTACCCTGCACTCTTCATCACTGAATCGTTCACTTCATTGTTAGCAAGGTCCCTCTCTCTTTTCTAGGTGATGTAAATAACCCCTGACCCCACTGTTGCCTGACGCAGTAACTTCTTACTTAGATGAAGTGGCTTTTTCACCTCCCCTTTTTATTTACCGCTTCCTCACATCTCTGCTTTGGCCTTCCCATTTTGCACTGCAATCCTGTCCATCCTCTCCTGACCCAGATGCTTTTCGATCTCCCAGAAGCACCTCTCTGTCTCCTGCCTTTGATTACGCTTCTGCGTTTTCTTGGCCATCCCCAGTGGCAGCTGGTGTATTTGGTTGCTGGAGAGCATACAGCGCACGTGGGCATTCAGTCATTTATCTCTGAGCACTTTCCATTTCCTCTCTGTGTACTTTTCCTAATGACTAATAGACGAACAGCCGCAATAGAGTGCGTTGCCCGCAATGCTTGGGCTCATCGCCACAGCAACAATAAGACAAGCTTTCATGAAAGCTGCCTTCAGAAATGCAAGGCGTGTCCAGTGAGTACGAGCTCCCAGTGGAGTTGAGCGCCTGGGGATGAAGAGGGCAGGGTAGAGATTCTTCCATGGAGGTGTATGGGCTTCTACTAATGTAGCACCCCCGTGGGTAATAATTTTTCCAGTGCAAAACTCTGGAGTCCATCAACGCTTCCATGCTTCCTCTGATTCTCCACAGAATAAGTATTGTGCTTCCAGTGACGAATTGCCTGCCCTTTATACTCTATGAGCGTTGTACTGGGTAGGCTCTACTCTCTCCTCTTGACAAAGTGCTCTGAGGCTGGTGTCCTCCCTGCCTTTCCGATCTGACTAGCTAATCTTGGGTTTGCTGATGCTGTTGTGGAAGGACTATCTCCTTACTGTAAACAAGGACCCAGATTTCCACCGTGGCAATAATTGATACTTTAGTGTGTTTTCACGCGCAGTTACCACAGCTACATAACCGATGGAAATCGAGGCTATAGTCTCTACTTTGTTTTTTAGCCTATCTGGACAAACTGGAGAAATGGTCTGAAGTCAATAGGATGAAATTCAATAAGGACAAATGCAAAGTGCTCCACTTAGGAAGGAACAATCAGTTGCACATACACAAAATGGGAAATGGCTGCCTAGGAAGGAGTACTGCGGAACGGGATCTGGGGCGTCACAGTGGACCACAAGCTAAATATGAGTCAACAGTGTAACGCTGTTGCAAAAGAAGTGAACATCATTCTGGGATGTATTAGCAGGAGTGTTGTAAGCAAGACACAAGAAGTAATTCTTCCGCTCTATTCTGCACTGATTAGGCCTCAGCTGGAGTATTGTGTCCAGTTCTGGGTGCCACATTTCAGGAAAGATGTGGACAAATTGGAGAAAGTCCAGAGAAGAGCTACAAAAATGATTAAAGGTCTAGAAAATATGACCTATGAGGGAAGATTGAAAATATTGGATTTGTTTAGTCTGGAAAAGAGAAGACTGAGGGGGGACATGATAACAGTGTTCAAGTACATAAAAGGTTGCTACAAGGATGAGGGAGAAAAAATGTTGTTCTTAATCTCTGAGGATAGGACAAGAAGCAATGGGCTTAAATTGCAGGAGGGGAGGTTTAGGTTGGACATTAGGAAAAACTTCCTAGCTGTCAGGGTGGTTAAGCACTGGAATAAATTGCCTAGGGAGGTTGTGGAATCTCAATCATTGGAGATTTTTAAGAGCAGGTTAGAGAAACTCCTGTCATAGAATCAGAACATTAGAAGGGACCTCATCTAGTCCAACCCCCTGCTCAAAGCAGGACCAACCCCGGGACAGATTTTTACCCCAGTTCCCTAAGTGGTCCTCTCAAGGATTGAACTCACAACCCTGGGTTTAGCAGGCCAATGCTCAAACCACTGAGCTCTCCCTCCCCCAGGGATGGTCTAGATAATACTTAGTCCTGCCAGAAGTGCAGGGGACTGGACTAGATGACCTCTCGAGGTCCCTTCCAGTGCTATGATTCTATGACCTTCCCTGGCTGCCCTTCTGCACATCGACGCTTGAGATAGCCAAATTGATTCCTTGAGAGCAAAGATAGTGACAGTTTATTACTGATGATTAAAATCAAATGTACTTGTTAAAACGGCTCTGGGGAAAGCCTGCAAAGCGGAGCTGGATGTCTGTGTAAGACAAAGAAAGAACATGTGGTGTCTGAGCACGGTCGCATTTCAGGGCATAGTTGGCCAAGAGATTGGCGGTGGGGGGAGGGTGCACATGAGACACAATGTTAGCAAAGAACGTTTGAAGCTGGATGGAATTTAGTTGCATTCTTGGTGAGTGTAAGACAGCACTTTCCGGCTGGAGGTCTTGCCTTTCTGTGGAAGCAAAACCCTTAGCTGCAGTTCTGGGCCCTGATGCCATGAAGAGGCCAGGGCAGAGAGCCTGGCCTGAAATCGAGCGTTTGTCTTTCCTTTTTCTTTTCGTTTTTTAAATGAAAGTTTCACCAAACTCAAATTGTAATATCTATAAAAATTAAAAAGCCCTGTTCGTTTGCCTCCTAATGCTCAAACATTGCAGCCGTGAGCTAGTGCTGCTGAACCAGAAAGGGAAATGGACTGCTTCGTGTCCATTGTCCAGACTGAGCAAACGATACAAGGTAACAAACGAGAAATGCTGCAAAACGAGTTTGACTTATTTAAATAAAAACAACAATCCACTTGCGATAGTCTGAGGTATTAGTAGTAATACCAGTATGGGGACTTTTCAGTGCAGTGGGTGTGTACAAAGATGGAGTATCCATCTCACCATGGAATGGGCATGCGGGGGGGGGGGCTGCGAAAGAGAAGCTGATGTGATATTTCAAGGTAGAGCGCTGCATGATCTTGCTACTTAACACTTGGTCACTGCCCGGCCCAAGAGTTGCATTAAGCCTGGTGCCGACAGCCACCAGAAGCAAGGGCTAATGAGGGGGATTTCTGAATCACCCGGGGCAGGTTGGGGCCTACGTCCCACTGGTGACTTTGGAAATTTCCCTCTAAGACAAACTCTTTAGTCACCCACTAAATAGAGCATCTCCATGTGGAAAAACATGTGACCGGAAGGAGGTGGAGACAATACCCTGCAAGTACCAGCTACCAGGAGACATTTGCCCCATTAGAGGCAGACGGTGCTAAGTTATTGATCTTGTGAACAGCGTTGTGCTAGCCGCTGTCTGGACGCACGGTAACAGACAGTCCCTGTTCCAAGAAGCTTATGGCCTAACTAGACAAGCAGAAAGGAAAGATTCTTCTCTGCATTTTACATCTGGGGACTTGAGGCGGAGAGAGGTCAAGCAAGTTGCCATGGGGCATTCAGAGAATTGGTGGCAGAGCCAGGAAATAACGTTGGCTCTTTTGAGTCCCCATTCAGTGCCTTAGCACAAGACCGTCCTTCCTAGGGAGTTGTGTGGCTCACCCTGGAATTCAGCCAGGAGCCAGCTGGCCTGGAGCTACTTGTCTAGCACATGCAGCTCTCCGCAGGCACCAGCTGGTCTTAAAACTGTTGGCAAAAGAAGCGATTTCTCGCCGCGCGGCTGCCAGTCCCATTCTCCCGCTCTGTACCCCGGCGCCGCGCTTGGAGCAGGTTCTCCCCCAGCTCTCCTGCAGCCCCACCCAGAGCCAGTGACGTGGGGCCCACCTCCTGCAGCCTGAAATCCTCTGCCAGGTTCCTGGGGCCGCTGTCTCCTGCGCACCCCGGCAGCGCTGGAGTGACTGCTTTTCGCTCAATCAGTGCGCTTGGCGCTCGCTGAGCCTCTTCGGGGCAGCGGTGAGGTTGCGGGTGCGTTTGCAAAGCCGCCTGGCTCGGGGAGGCAGACACTGGCTCCTACATGGCTGATTGTGGAGCTTTGATCCAGCGTGGTCCGTCTGCTTCCTGCCTTCACACCTGGCTGCCGCCACCCCGAGCTTCCGTTCTCGAGGTGGAGCCCAAGGGCCAGAGTGAGACGGCAAATATCTGGCAAGGGGTTTGTTGTGGTCCCCATGGCGCGTTCGATGCTGTGCAGACCTAGCTGAGGAGACGGTACCCGGCCCACGTCGCTGATGAGCTAGCTCGGGAGCTCAGTGCAGTCAGTTGGGTCTAGCCGTTGCCGGGGCTTTTGATTCTGTAACGGTTTCAGCGTTGTTGGTTTGGGAGCCCTTTGTGCAGAGGCTGGATGCTGCGGGGTCAGGGAGGAATGGCACCGCAGTCAGAGGCACAAGGTGGAATTTGCTATATTTGATGTGCCCAGAAAAAAGGGGTTGGGTGAGGAGAGAGAAGGCGGGAGAAGAGCTATAGAAAATGTTGGTGAGCCCTTCAACTGCCGTTGGCTCCATCCCTGGTCATCCCCTTTCCCTTCCTTTCCTGCTACCCCCCCCAAGGAGCATGGCCCAGCCAGCACAGAGCATTTCCAATAGCCACCCTATTGATTAGGAGATGGCTGGCTTGATTGTTCCCATCTCGCTGAGATAAGGGACGCTGGCAGAGTTTTCCATGCAGGGGCGAAACTGGTCAAGTCCTACTTAAAGCACCAAGGACGGCAGTGCAAAACTGCTGCTCATATCTGCTGCCCTTCATGTGTGGGGCAGAGGAGGCCTGGGTGAGGGCCAAAAGGAGGAGACGCACCTTCCACCCCAGAAAGTGCATTGATGGGGGCACAGAGCAGCCATATTTCCCGTAGGTTTATGGTGTGTTGGATAGTGTGAGAACACATAGGGCATAGGAAAGAGACACTGTATTCATAGATCTAAGGCCAAAAGAGATGGCTGTGATCATCTAGTCCAGTGGTTCTCAATGAGGGGACACGTCCCCTGGGGGTACGCAGAGATCTTCCAGGGGGACATCAGCTCATCTAGAGATTTGCCTAGTTCTACAACAGGCTACAGGAAAAGCACTAGTGAAGTCAGTACCAACTAACAGTTCATACAGACAATGGCTTGTTTATACAGCTCTCTCTACGATACATGAAATGTAAGTACAATATTTATATTCCAATTGATTTATTTGATAATGCTATGGTAGCACTGAGAAAGTCAGCCATTGTTCAGTACTAGTGGCTGTGACACTTGTATTTTTATGTCTGGTTGAGTACGTAAGTAGTTTTTAAGTGAGGTGAAGCTTGGGGGTACACAAGACAAATCAGACCCCTGAGAGGGGTACAGTTGTCTGGAAAGGTTGAGAGCCACTGATCTAGTCTGAGCTCCTGTATAACACCAGCCGTAGAACTTCCCTGAATTAATTCCTATTTGAAATAGAGGAAAAACATCCAGTCTTGAGTTGAAAATGTCCAGGGATGGAGGATCCGCCCCAGCACTACAGCAGTGCCTGCTATAATCTAGAGCAGTGGTCACCAGCCGGTCGATTCTAGAGGATGTCCCCGTCGATCGCGATCTCCGGCGGTGCAGCGTGGCTGTCGCTAAGGCAGACTCCCTGACTTCCCCAGCCCCACGCCGCTCCCGCAAGCGGCCAGCGCGGCCCCGTGGCCCCAGGGCAGGGGTCTCCCTCTGCGCGCTGCTCCTGCCTGCAAGCACCGCTCCCGTTGGCCAGAGAGCTGTGGGGGCCGTGCTTGCAGAGAGGGGCAGTGCACAGAGCTATGTGCCCCCCACACTCCTCAGGGGCATAAGGGGAGCGTTGGCCCCTTCTGGGAGCAGTGTGGGGCCAGGGTAGGCAGGGAGCCTGCCTGAGCCTTGCTCTGCCTGCCGCTGACCAAGAGCCACCGGAGGTAAGTGCTGCCCGGTGGGAGGCTGCACCCCAACCCCATCCCTGAGCCCCCTCCCAGAGTCAGCACCCCATACCCCCTCCTGCACCCCAAGCCCCAGCCCTAAGCCCCCTCCCAGAGTCAGCACCCCATACCCCCTCCTGCACCCCAATCCCCAGCCCTAAGCCCCCTCCCAGAGTCAGCACCCCATACC